CATGCATGAGGCCCTGGGTTCAATTCCTCAGCACCACATACACAGAAAAAGCCAGAAGTGTTGCTGTGGCTCAAGTGGTAGTGTGCTTAGCCTTGAGCTGAAGAGCTGAGGGACAGTGCCCAGGCCCAGAGTTCAAGATCCACAGCCAACAAAAACAAAACAAAAAAAAAAAAAGAATGCAGCCAAAGTCACATGGAAACAGAGTACTATTAGTGGTTATATGTTACTACATAACACCACAGAAAAATACCAGGGAGAATGCATATATTTAACATACATAGAATATACATGACATACATACATATATACATACATATATACATACATACACACACAGTATGGCATATATACATATTGGTACACATACACACATATAGTAAATATCCTACGCAGGGCACAAGTGGCTCTTGCTTGTAGTCCTATCTACTCAGGAAACTGAGACATGAGGATGGCAATTCAAAGCCAGTCCAATGTCTCAAAGTGGTAGAGTACAAAAAAGGCAGGGACAGTGCCAAGGCCCTGAGTTCAAGATCCAAGACTAGCACCAGCCAGTATTGGTGGCTCACGCCTGTAATTCCGGATACTCAGGAGGCTGAGATCTGAGGATCACAGTTCAAAGCCAGCTCAGGCAGAAAAGTCTAGGAGATTCTTCTCTCCAATAAACCAACAGAAAACCGGAAGTGGTGCTGTGGCTCAAGTGGTAAAGCATTTGCCTAGATCTGAAAAGCTCAGGGACAGTACCCAGGCCCAGAGTTCAAGCCCCAGGACATTCCTGCCTGGACTGGCTTTGAACTGTGATCTTCAGATCTCAGCCTCCTGGATAGCTAGGATTATGGGCATACACCACCGGTGCCTAGTTACAAATAACTTTTGGAAGGAAAATGTGTTATAACTATCCAAATTTCCATTACATCTTTGGATTCATTCTGCAACTCTACTTCTAGGAATCTAGCCTATAACACTACTTGTATAAGTACAGAAAATAAATACGTATACATGTATATGTGTGTAAATATATATAAAAACACAAAAACTGAGCCAGGTACCAGAAGCTCACACCTGTAATCCTAGCTACTCAGAAGGCTGAGATCTGAGGATCACAGTTCATAACCAGCCCAGGCAAGAAAGTCTGTGAGACTCTTACCTCCAATTAACCACCAAAAACAGGAAATGGTGCTGTGGCTCAAGTGGTAGAGCACTTGCCTTGAGCTGAAGAGCTCAGGGACAGCACCCAGACTTCAAGGCCCAGAGTTCAACCCCCATGACCAACACAAAAAGGAAAAATTGTTTTTGCATTCATCATTTTTAACAAAATCTAATGCCTATAGCTGATTAGACAAATTATGGCATTTTCATATAGCAGAAGCTTAATACTCTTATAACCATTAATGGAAAAGTACCTCTAAGATACAAACCCGGAATATAAGATACAAACCCGGAATAGTAGATAAAAGAACCCCAATATATTATGACCTTACACAGAAAATTCTACACAGGAAAAAATCTGGAAGAATATACAACAAACATTTACAGATAACATCTAAGAATTAGTACTTTCAATTTCTTGTTTTGTTTTTTGTTTTTGGGTCCGGTTGTGGGGCCTGAACTCTGGGCCTGGGCGCTGTCCCTCAGCTCTTCAGCTCAAGGCTAGTGCTCTACCACTTTAAGCCACAGCGCCACTTCCGGCTTTTTTTTTCTTTTTGCTTATGTGGTGCTGAGGAATCGAACCCAGGGCCTCGAGCATGCAAGGCATGCGCTCTACCACTGAGCCACCTTCCCAGCCCCCTTTCAATTTCTTTATATAGTCCTATTTGTACTTTTCTTACAATAAAAGATGTGATTTTAAAATAACATATCTTTTTTAGGCATTAAAATGGCTTTGAGTAAATCTAGTCTTCTTTTCTTCATCAATGTATAAACTCCCTTCTCTCCTCTCTTTATACTATGCCTATATTAGACCCTAATTCTGAACAAAAAAAAATCTGGGGGGGCTGGGAAGGTAGCTCAGTGTTAGAGCGCTTGCCTTGCATGCCTGAGACCCTGGGTTC